TAACACAGGTTCACTAGACAATACCGAACTAACAGCTACTTTAGTTCAAATGTTCAAGTCTAGATAGACAACAACTAATAATAATATAGTAATTCATGTATATAACTAGTAATATTATGAGGGCTGATCACACCATTCAGGAAATCAAGGACAAACTGAAAAAGTTATAAAACTGAATCAACAGCCAACCAACAAAAATACCAAAAGAAAATCAGCAAAACACGCAGAACAGTGGTGTCAAAACAAGCAACAAAGAAGATATAGTGTAAACTAATGAATAAACTAGAGCACATTGAGACAACACAGCTTTACCCTCCATATTTACCACACAAGATTTGACAAAGTCAAGTACACAGAAACAAAATGATGCGTTCTTCAAACTTCTGCAAGATAGTACATTTACCCAACAACAGTTAGAAAGGAAAGAAGAGGAAATAGAGATATTACAATAAGAAAATGGAAAAAGTAAAGGCGAAATTTACGAAACTAACAACATATTTACAGCCTAATCTTGTCTCCTAATCTATGTCTTACCAACAGAAACACCATTATAAACCTATTGGAAACGCCAGAAGATAATAACAGTTAAAACTATTCAGTCTGTGTAATATAGAAAGAAACATGGAGCAAAAAACACCCACACATTAATAGTCGGCGAATCCATGTTGAATCAAACAGATCCCAGACTTACGTTCAAGCAAACATTCATCAACACTCTTCGTAGTCGTAAGATAGCAGATATGATGCGTACGTACAGAATTACGCAGTAGAAGATATCCGTAATATTGTTATACATGTAGAATTATCTCTCATGGCTGTACCATCGAGTCATGCACAAAATATTACACTACTAAGATTGTTAACATCAAACAGGAATATCCAGCAACAAAGACCTGCATTTCATCAATCACACAGACAAAAAATAATACTACCATTAACGAGACCATAGATATTCCCAACACAGGAATATCCAGCAACAAAGACCTGCATTTCATCAATCACACAGACAAGAAATAATACTACCATTAACCAGACCATAGATGTTCCCAACACAGGAATAACCAGCAACAAAGACCTGCATTTCATCAGTCACACAGACAAGAAATAATACTACCATTAACCAGACCATAGATATTCCCAACACAGGAATATCCAGCAACAAAGACCTGTAATCCATCAATCACACAGACAAGAAATAATGCTACCATTAACCAGACCATAGATATTCCCAACACAGGAATATCCAGCAACAAAGACCTCCATTTCATCAATCACACAGACAAGAAATAATGCTACCATTAACCAGACCATAGATATTCCCAACACAGGAATATCCAGCAACAAAGACCTGTATTCC